AAATTTAGCATAAAAATGATCAGGAGGCTTTAATCTATCAGTTCATATATGATTTAATTAATTTTAGTAATGAAAATCAAAAGGGGCCAAAATGCGTTCTTATGCGCCCCGTCCTTTTATCGCGATCTGACTCTCCTTCCAAAAGTTATCGTGTAAACGGACGGACGGACGGACGGACACACTGACCGATTCTAGAGTGTACTCACTTTTTGAGTACACAAAAACAAGAAAATATAATTGGATTGTGTTTTGCAAGAATTTAGCTATGAATATATTTTATACGAAGTAATTCATTAAACAATCGATTGATCAACGAGAAGTATTAAACAAACTCTTCTAATTTTACATGAAATGTTAGAAGAGAGAAAGTTATAATTGTTTGAATTCGTTTCTAGAATCCAAAACATTTTTGAAGTATTTTTCTTCTGAGACTTAGTCTTCATCTGAGTTGATAGACTAGAACGATGTTAACATTCAGTTGTTGTCCATCGGCAAAACTTATCAATTCATTCACATTCACAGCCTTAAATTAACTCCTTTGGAAAAGACAAAAGGGTTCCAAATAGAAGATAGAATAGATTTTGAAATCTAAAAGATCATAATTCAGAAATGCAAAGATATCGATCATCGAACGTAACACTTTGCTTTTTTTTTCATTAAAGATTGAATACAGAAGATTAATCAACTACAGAGAACTTCGAAAAAAAGTTATCGATGTAATCATTTTTTGAAAGTTCCATCTGAATGTTTTATAAACATCGTTAAACATTTATTTAATCAACATATTCTTATTTTAAATACGGTGAATATTGTGGTCGATATTTAATTTCCGTTGGACATACATTATAAGGTGTACGCAAAACATAGAGAACACCTTCAGCAATGTCTTCTGATTGAACACATTTATTAAGATTTAATTTATGACTTTCATCTTTAATCATTGGAGTGTTGACATAGCCCGGCATAATTGAACAAACTTTGATACCATATTCACGAACATCTAAACAAAAACGAAAATTTAAAGTGAAATTTCCAATAGTTCTATCTAACCTTCATAAATCGAACCGAGAAATCCATTAACACCCCATTTACTAGCATAATATTGAGGCATGCTACCGCCAGTAAACTGAAATAACGAAAGAAAAATCAATGTATGATTGCTTTTTTATTTTATTTACCGTTGCTGCTAGAGATGATATAGTAATAATTGCACCATGTTTACATTCTTTCATCATTGGTAAACATCTACCTGTCATTCGCATTAAACTTAATAAATTTATTGTCATAACTTCTTCCCACATATCTACGACATCTTTTCCTGATGGTGTTTTTTCTTGAACTGAAGAAACACGTTCACCACATACACCAGCATTATTTATAAGAATATCTAATTTATTTTGAAAAACATCACCAATTTGTTTATATGCATCTTCAACCGATTGTTTCACTGACATATCACAAATAATAACATGTGCGTTAACACCATGTTTTAAACATTCCATGGCTAAAGTTTCAAGAGCATTATGAGATCGAGCTAACAAAGCCACATTACAACTAAAAAGAAGTAAAATAAGAAAAAAAAATTAAGAATTCAACATTTAAATAATTCACCCTTGTTTAGCTAGTGTTAATGCTATCTCTCTACCAATACCACTACTAGCACCAGTAATGACGGCATTTTTACCGTGTAAATCAAGTACACCTCGTAATTCTCCAGACATGATGTGGCAAAAATAAATAAAATAATAAACAAGACATCGTTTAAGTGATCTGATCGAAATCAAATCGATTTCACATGGCTAGATCTTACCACCTTCTCGTACTTCAAGAGTAGGCACTAAAAATTCAATATTAAATCGAGAAAAAAAGTAATGAGCGTTATTCCCAATTCACTTATAAGCCCCTATCCAATGGAAATAAGGGCGAATGTGTATCGTTTGTTGCTAAGAGCGGTTATACTTCTTTGATTTTTTTTCAATACATATTCATTTCTTTTTCCTTCTCGAACATATCGCTTATTATGTGGTCAATCTTTC